ACCCCCCCCCAGTGATGCAGGGAAGCAGCGTCTAGCAGACCACAAACGGTTCATTGAAAACAACTTGAATCTGAATGAAATCAGAAGAGCGCTTGATAGTGGCATCGCTGCGCATGAAGGTCAGACAACTCAATAAATTAATGCAATCATTGCCGACAAACCTAGGAGACTAGAGGTCAGAGTGACTGGTGTCTAAATTATCAAACTGAATGACAAAGAGAAATCGTATCGGCTGAAAATTCTTCAGGAGTTTGAACGACCTGGAGAACCTAGGAGCCGTGTCTCGCCAGTCAGAGTCAGAAAAGTTGCGTGAATATATTAATCAAGTTAGCAGTGTTCTTAAGACGATCTCAAACAGGAATCCATCAGTGGTGCGGGATATGCAACGGCTCTTGTGGCAACGAAGAAATTTTGCGTTTAACAGGAAGCAAATCTGAGAAGGGAAGAGCCACTATGATGATGAAGAATCAAGAACAAACTATGAAATACGTCAAAAAGTTGTCCAATTAGAACAACTGAACTGCAGCAACATAAACAAATCACTCACGAATATGATGAAAAAATTAGACCAACCAAACAGCCAGAACGAAATGCGAGGATGCTGAGCAGAGGCTGTTAGCTGTATCGGCAAAACTTCGGACGTACCAGGGGAGGTTCAGGCTGTACAAACAGAATTGGAACTTCGTTTAATATGTTAATGCTTTCTGTAGAAATTGGAGGCAAAGAACAAATCAGCAAGTAATAGAAGATTGTTGGTCCTAACACAGAAGAATCGCATCAGTTCTGTAGGCGGATATGCGAATTGACAAAGTCCACAACGTAGAAGCTAACTGGTTAATTGGAATCTTCAAAAAAAGAGGTCACAATTTCCAAATATATGAAAGAATGTGTGCGTGGTGCTCAGAAAATAAAAAAACTGGTCAGCACCATGCCCTGATCAGATGCATGCGTTGTGGCTGAAGCGGCTAGCGTGCTTGCACTCATGAATAGCAGTATTCTTGAATAGAGTGCTTTAAGAAGAACCATGTTAATTAACAAAAGGAGTGACAGTCTTGAAAGGCGAGAAAAGGGGTTATGGCGATGTGTCTAACTACTGGTCGATCACTTATCTTTCAGCGACCAAAAAACAATTGGCGTCAATATTGACCAGTACAGTTTACTAGAGTATCGAGACGGACAACATATTTCTTGAACAAGAATGTGGCCTGCTGAAATAAGAGGATCTAAAGATCAGTTACTCGCTGCCACGGCGCTACCACGGATTGCAAAATGTAAAGAATCAATATGGCCATGGCGGGATGGACTTTAGGAAGGCATCTGATCTAGTATTGCTTTGCTGAATCCTGTAATTCCTAGAACTTTACGTCTGCCTTATAGAGTTCTTCAAAGCAGCGATGAAACAGTGGCGAACAACGCTACCATGTGATAAACTCTCCATGGGATCAGTCGAGGAATCTCTCCAGGAGATTCAGTCTCGCCGCTTTTATTTTGTCTGGCATTGAACCCTTTTGTTACTTGCTAAATAATACCAGGGAAGGGTATAAGTTGAAAGATAGCAGTGTCATATCGCACCTGCTTTACGTGGAAGACATGAGGATGTGTGCGAGATCGTTAAAAGGGCTCGATGATCTGGTTCAAAACGTGCGAATTTTTTCGTTAGATATCAGAATAAAATTCATTTTGAATAAATGTGCCGTGCTCAAGGTAAAGAAGGAAAGATCTGGAGTAGCGGCAGAGTGACGGTGTAATGAGCAGATTGGAAGAAGGACAGTCGGGGTGCTAGAATTTTACAGCATATTGCGTGAAATAATCGAACTCTCGATAAAGATATGAACGCGAGTAGAATTCGATGAATCCTGTAGAACAGGTTGTGCAGTAGGAATAAAATTTTGGCCATTATATGGATATTAACCAGTACACAGTACCATTGTTTCCCTTGCAGTAAGCGTCTCTAGTGTACGCAAGTGAAAATGCTAGAACTGGATAGAAATACAAAATAGATCTTGAACATGTAAGGGATTGTACATGCAAAGGCAAATACAGATGGACTGTATGTCCCGCGCAGAGGAGAAGGAAGAGGACCTCGTCGTATTAAAGATACACTGGGATTAAAGACATCATCGCTACGGCAATGAGCGCTAGGGTGCTGACGGCGTTTAATAGTTAACGGCCTGTGAAAACTGGAAAATGAAACATTTGGAAATGCAGGAAATCGTCAGGAAAATGTAGAGAACGTCTGATACAGTGATTCGAGTAACAGGGTTTGTGTGTTTTCAGTATCTTCGTCAACTCGATGAAGGCATAGACATTTTTTTTTACTATACTCTGTGGTAAAACGGAAGGCCTCGTAAACGCCCTGTATGATGCGAAGATTCTGCGCACCCTGCCAGTAGCAGCTGGAGAGCGGTGGAAGAGATTGATCTGGTGATCATATTCTGGGACTTTCTAGTACACACTGAGAAAGAAACATCGGCTCCTCGTCCGAATGTCGTGTTGGCAGCGAAAGCGAAAAGGCGCAGACAAATCATGTGCGTGCCCGGTTGATGGCAGCGTTATTAAATGGGGAAGAAAAGATACTGAAATGTCAAGAATTGAGTGTGGAAATACAGGTCGTTAACGTTATTGCGTGATTCTTCTGCTTATCAGTGCTCTTGAAGCTGTAAAATGATCATCAGCGCTTGCTAAAGTTACTTGATGAAGCGATCGAGGTGGATGAAATGTAGAAGCTGACACTGCTAAAAACAGCTAGGATTTTAGGAAGAGTACTGCAACTTCCTAACATATTGCATGTGCTACAAGCTATATGTATATAGATAGGTTTATATCTGTCTCATAGCAAGCGCGAAATGACAGATATCATCGAGTTTCGGTAGGACACCGGCTATTTTTGAAATTACCAAATGTTCCGGCTTTGCGACCAATAAAATACCAGATATTTTCTGGATAATTCGCTTCTTTTGAAAGGATATCTAATCGATGTGGCTCAGACGTTTCACCGCTTACCTCATTGCCCATATCAAAATATTTTCAAATTGCATGCAGCTGATCTTTTTTGCTCGTTTCGTGCAACTCTGTAGTGTTTTGGCACGCTCCTTTAGTAATAATCGATTTTTCTGACTGTATTTGGCAGCATTATTTTTTAAAGCTACCGTTGTGCTTTGTTAGTCGATGTTGTTGATTCTACATGAATTGTTTTCTAGCATTCCCATTCTCAGCAGCGTTATTTCTTTCTCTTCAGTGACCTTCTGTTGATCGTGAAAGAAAAGTATATTTCATTAAGGCTGTTAGATTTTTAATGCAGTTTTATTTTGCATCAGGGCACGAAGCACCTATTGCCTGAAAGAGAAAGTGCCGTTGTGTCAGTTGTGGCTGAGCGAAGAAGGGGTGGAAGAGATTGCTGACGACTGCAATGACAAACGGTGCTGTTTTGTGATCGGCTGGCCCACTGTGAACTATGTCGCTAAATTTAGGTAAGCGTTCTTCACGTAAATTATGTTTGATTCAGTTGTGAGCTGTAGCCATGTATTTAGTAATTGCTTAGTTAGAAACATTGGGCACATTGAAAGTCCGGGAAAAAAGTTACACGTTGCATACTGCACATGATCCTTTTTATTCATCCTCATCTTCCATGATCGCTTCTCCTTTCGGGTCGCGGAGTCAGACTTCCCTCTGCAGACGTCAGATAGTGGTTCCGACGTTCCCGATTCCTTGTCATAGTTTGAGCTTCGGCAGAAGTGAACTGGAGTCTGAAGCAGGCATATAATTGCAACATGTTAATCTTAGCCGTCTCCTGACCCTTTTGCCGTCGGTTGGCCTGGGAATATTTGCTTTGTCTTCCTTTCTGGAGGCATTCGCAACACTTGACCAAACCATCGCAGCTGCGACTTCTCAACCTGGAAAAGCAGAGGCTCTTTACGAAGGCTCTCCGGGATGTCTTTATTCCGGACCATGTCGACACGCGTAAGGCCATCGACTCATCTCAGAAAGCCTATTTCAGCAGTTTGTACCCGGGATCGAAGCCTTTCAGTCATCGACCACGACTCACGACCGTAGGTAAGCATGAAGATGAAGATTGATATGATTATCGAGAACGTAGACTTCAGACTCAGCTCTACTTTAGTCACAATGATTCGGGCTAGTTCACGCTGAACGCCACTGGCTACCCTGATCCGCCCGTCGATCTTTTCCTCAAATTTTCCTTTACCGGAAAACACGACTCTTAGGTGCTT